GTGAGTCTTGTTTAATAATAGATTTTGTTGTTCTAGTTAATAGCATGGGAATGTATTGGACTTCAACACCTGTCATTTTTTTAGCTTTGCAGGCAAAAGCAACATTTCCTGCATTAATTCTGAATCCAGCTATACATATATGTGAAGACTATATATATACTGTGTGAAGGTGTGTTTAAATGGCATAAATACTACCAATTTGGTATGCTTTTGGTAATCAATTTATTTACTTTCTTAGTATCCCTGTTGTGGGTTTGATTGCAATTTTAGTAATTCAAATCTTAACTTTGAAACTGGATCATGTACTGTTACTTCTAAAGCCGTTCTTTCCTGTTCTTTTACCACTTTAGATAATTCCTGAGTGACACGTTGTCAATAAAATTGGACAATTTGCCTGTTCCTCAGTTTTTCCTGGATTTTCCAGTTACAGTTACAGTTGTATAATTTCTTGTGCACCAGAGGTCGCCAGTACAGACACAAGAGTTCGTTGTGGTGAAGGTGTTCTCAGCATGTCAGCATTTTTAACATGAAGAGCATAGGAAACGTGCAAACTTAATGGAACAATTTTCTGCATGTGTATATCCTTCACTGTTACTTAATCCTTTTTTTTTAGTGTTATATATTTAAGACTTTTAAACATTTTGTTTAAAAGACTTTTGAAGGGACTCTATTCAGTAGACACCACAGCTCAATCATTTGCCTCCTTTCCATAGAAGAAGCAAGTCAAAACTTCTGTAACTTTATCAGCGTCTTTTACTTTCTGCTAAGTGTGTGATAGAGCAGCTCTGAGGGGCTGGTGATTGCATTGGCTCTCCTATTACACTTGTGTCCTTTTACAGCATACCTAAAGTACAGTGTTATTAGTTAACTTATCTGTACCTTCATTTGCCTTGATTTTCTTTTATACCTTTCTCATAATTTGTTCCTTATTGAAAAGCTACTAAATAATGGAACTAAAAATAAAACTAGTAACACTAATGAAAATAGCCTTTCATCATCTTCCTTTGGAGTGGCCAAATACTAATGGAAAATCCCTCTCTACAAAACATTATTTGCTATGACACTTATGACAATTATGTGAAAAACAGCAGTGCATTTTTACTGTGGGCCTAATTCAGCGGGACAGAGAAGGTGTACCAGTTAGAATGGCAGCTCCGCAGACATTTGTATGACAATAATCCCATAATTTGATTGTAAGTGCAATATCATAAGAAACAACCTTGGAACATGCAAGGGCACGTAGGTAGAAATCAATGACAGGGAATAGGAGGACCTTCATTTCAAAACCTCATATTTCATCTTGAATACCAATAGCACAAATTACACCTAGTCATCAATCTTTTGTTACCAATATGTGAAAAGAGGCCTGTTTATTTCCTATTGGTTCTGTTGTATATGTTAACGAATAAAAAAAAGTAACTTAAACCATGAGTACATACCTACTCATAAATACCAAGGAATTTGTTGTGCAGGTTGTTTTTGGTACATGAAGAAAACAAAGGGGACTTCATCTTTTGAAGTTGTAGTAAGTTGTACTTTGGTCTCTACCACTTAAGACGTAAAAAGAAAATGAAAAGATGAAAGATTTCATAGATAAATAGATATCCTTAGTCTTGAACCAAGGAGTTGCACTGGAATATGGAGTATATTCCCTATTTGTTTGTGTTATCAGCATTTTTTTTCCTTCAAACAACACTAAAGTAGCAAATTAAAACCAGAGGTCTGAGAACTGAGTCCAGTGGAACGCCACACACTAATTCACCTGAGTATAAGGAGCTTCTTCAAGCAGACCTCAAGAAAAGTAGGTGCTCTTCCAGATCTGTGCTATCTGGATGGAGTAACTGGTAGTGTGCGCAGTAAAGTCGAGCCAAGGTTTACAGTCTGGATTTTTACTTCATCGGGTCTGTATGCTTTCAAAGTAATAATGTTTCAATCTGCAGGGTGTAAGAGCAGATTCTTAGTCCAGGTCATTAAATGTACTGTATGTGAGAAAACCCTCATGTCGCTCAAAGCTGCAGCTCTTGTTCCTGAGCCCACAGTTATACAGGTGCTGTCGTGCTTTAGTTACTACTCATCTTGCAGTGCTGCGTCTTCAGTGGAGTTTTATACAGTGAGAGACAGAAGTTATGACCTGTAATATCTGGGTGAAGTTTTTTGTGTTGTGGTTGGGGATAAGCCTCGTAGCAGAAGAACAGAAGCGACAGACATACGGTATCAACATTTCTTTTTAAAAATGGGCTTGATAGATTGTCTCTGAAGAGAAACAATAACCGATTAAAAACAGAGGTTAGAAGGAATATTAGTCCCCACACAAGTAATTGAACAGAAATTCTTAGACTGATTATTTCTAAGACAACAAGGGATAGAAGTCAACTAGTTATAAAAGATTCAATAGGTGAGTGTTTTGTCAGTGTAAATGACAGGAATCTGTGGAAATAAAAAGGGGGTGTACCCAAAAGAGTGCAGAATTGTTAGTGAGGTACAGTGACAGGAAGTCAACAGAGAAATCTCAAGATAATGACAGTGAATTTTCAAAAACTGCTCATGTAGCAATCCAATAGAAACTACCATAACAAAACCATAGGAGAATTAAATTGGCTTACACAGCAATTGACAGTGGAGAAACAGACTTCTGAAAGTTTAAAAAAAAAAAACAGATCAAAACTGAACTAATCCACCTGCAGTTTATCAGGAAGATAATACCAAGCCTTCAAAAGTCCGAATGAATGCTTCTAACAAGCTCAACAATCTAGTCAGACAACACTTTGTCTTTAAAACTTGTGTCCCTGACAGTGCTGCTGTGAAATCATTATTTCTCCTTAATCTTTAAATGATTCTGAGAGGGATCTGGTTCAGAATGTACCTCAAATGTTCACACAAAGGTACCTTAAATAATATAAGCGCCTACTAATAGAAAGTTAGATGTGTTATGTGCCTTTTCCAAGTTAAAGCAGTGTCCTTCCATAATCCTGAAGCCATATCCCTTTGATATACGTAAGGATGATGTCAGCTACCTGCAATTTTTATAAATCATAAACCGTAAATAAATCAGTACCTTGTAACAGAACCTTTCGCCTTTACCTTTAACTAGGAACCTTTTTGATTAATGTTTTTTATCATAATAAATGGGGCTATAATTATAGTTGTTTTGCTGCCTTTCATACGAACAAGAGGGCGTGGGTGTGAGGGGGAGCTTACGGGCATCTCCATAGCTAGCTGTAGCCAAAGATCGTAAAAAAAAAAATATCATTGGCTCTGTGTGGCCACTGGCTGCATTGGAGAGAGAGTTTTTCTAATCACGATGATTACTTCACTGACAACGGCAGAAAGTGAAACGCCGCTTGCCAATACATTTTCACACCTGCTGAGACCTGATTGATCTGGACTGATGCTATCCCTGAGAACTCATTGCATGGGTCACTCTCAATTACCAGCTTTTGATGAAAGCTCTCATTTTACAACGGCAGCCCTAAATTCATTGCAGGCCAATCCAGATAATTGTCAAAAAATGTTCTTCAAAGTAGAATGGATGTCATCCTGAGATATGGTAGTTTCTCGGTTACAACCCTGGTATCTGATTAATGAATCAATTACATGTTATCAATGAGTCCTTGTTTTGTGATTTTTTTTCTTTTTAACCGAATGTTATCAGACTGAACTGGACATGAGGATTTATGTGCCTACTTCCATCACTTCCTTGACTTCTAAATATGTGATCTGGGGTTTATTTTTGGTGAAGCAGGGACAATATGTGTTAAAAACATACAGGCAACTGAGCACAGCATCCTGGTTAGGTTTTTCTCCAATAACTATTTTGGTTTGTTTTTTTTTTAATGGTTGTTTTCCTCTTGTCCTAAACACTTTTTGGATATGCTTTGCTACTGGCTGTAATAGCTTTATTTTGCAGAGTAATTATTGAAAGCTGAACTCGTAGGCATTTTTGTTTTGCCTATTGTTGTTAACTTTAGTTTGTATTTTAATTACAGCTAGGGGAGTCACCATTGCAGATTTCTCCCACATTTCCCATAAAAGCAGGGGACAGCTCATTTTATTAGAAGAACCTTCTAATTTTCAGAATTTCAAAGAAGAGTTTTTAATATCCATCTGTTGCTAAATTGCAGAAATTGGAAATGTTTTCACATTTAAAAATTAGCACATTTAAGAACCTTGGACATAAACACTGAATCACCCCTACTTTACAGATCTCAATTACTGTTCATTCTTGACTTGCTTACCTCAATTAGTATTAGGAATTCTAAGATTAGTCTTCATCATGGACTGTGAAAATACTAAAAAGTTGATTTTGTTTCAGATTTGTTTTGTGATCAAATGCGTATTATGCTGTTTTAGTCCCCAAAGTTGACAACTAAAAACAATGTGAGACACAGACACTATACTGGCATCTGCTAGTTTGATTTTAAACCTTTGTGACCTTTATAACCTTTTTAAAACATTTGTATCGCTCTTTCAAAATAGTTTAATAGTGTCTAAACAAACCACTATGTTAACATTTTAAATGCCAGGTAACCTCTAAGAAAGAGTTGTAAGCCTTTCTGTATACCTTGTAACAGGTATTACATTTTCTTTAATGGTTTTGTATTTAAAAAATGATTTCCTTAAACGCATTTCATTCACTACCTTTTCAAATTAAAAATTTGAGAAAAAAAATAACGGCCGATCTCATTACACGCGATTTAAGAGATCATTACACGCGAGTCAGGAGAAAGCTCTTATTGTTGTGACACGATGTGGGTTTACACTTCTGGCGTTCTGCGGTTTTTCCACTAGGAGGCAGCACTGCTTTTTCTATCTGACATCATTGAAAATAAGTCTTAAAAAATACAAATTGATGGGCAAAAGAGAGAATTAGTCATAAATCATATAAGCAGTTAGATGACCAAAATCCCCAGAAGAAATCGTTCAATTGAGTCCTTATTTTCAAACAGCAGGCGAAATGCTTACTGTGTAACAAATGAAGTAGGTACGCAGTTTGCCCACAG